GTGAGGCGGGAGAGGCCTTGGGGGGCACCGGGGTACGACTAGGGGAGCGGTGCGGTCGGGGCGTGGAGTCAGCCCCACGGAGGTAGTGTGGTGAAAGCGGGAGGTCGGGTGGGTGGCAGTTAAGGGGCCACGGAGTGCGGTGCTGAGGGGAGTCCTGTCAGTCTGTGACCCCTTGAAACGCACAGTGGGAAGGGAACAGCTTCTGGGGGCGTATTTCGTGTGACTGAGTGAAAAATGCTGTGGGGCGGGCCGGGATTTGTGACGTGCAACAGCCCGGCAGCACCACGGGGAAGAAGGTGCTCAGCCAGGGCCTTGCGCCACTGACTGAGGCACTGAACAAATAGTTCTGGACGGCACCAGAAGATTTCTGAGCTGAGGAGTCATGCATGAGCTTTGGCATCAGTCCTGCAGTGATTTTCAGGCCTGCTGATATAATTCAGCTCATATTTGTAAGGTTAGCATGTGGGTAAGACATAGCAGATAGTGGTCTAAGTCCAAGAGCTTATGATTCCTCTGAGGACAACAGGTCTAACATGTGCTCTTCATTCATAAACCATTCAAATGGCACTCATCTGATGCTTATGCATGGGCTGTTTCAGTATCCCTGCTGTTCCGTGAGGATGTTGTTATATTATGAAGAGTATCATCAAGGTCAGGTTGGACAGGGCTTTGAGCAACCTGATCTACACAGAATCACAGAATTGTCGAGGTTGGAAGGGACTTTTGGAGACTATCAAGTCCAACCCACATGCCAAAGCAGGTTCACTACAGCAGGTTGCACAAGATCACGTCCAGGCAGGTCTTGAATATCTCCAGACAAGGGGACTCCACAACCTCTCTGGGCAGCCTGTTCCACTGCTCTGCCACTCTCAAAGTATAGAAGTTCGTCTTGGAGACGTTCAAAAAACGTCTAGATGTGGCACTTCAAGACATGGTTTAGTGGACAGGGTGGCATCAGGTGTACGGTTGGACTTGATGATCTTTGAGGTCTCCCAGCCTTTTCCAGTGCTCTGCCACTCTCAAAGTATAGAAGTTCTTCCTTATTTCAGACAAAACTTCCTGTGTTTCCGTTTGTGTCTGTTGCCCCTTAACCTGTCTCTGGGCACCAGTGAAAAGAGTCTGGCCCCATCCTCTTGACACCTGCCCTTAAGGTATTTATAGGCATTGATGAGATCCCCTCTTCTCCAGGCTGAACAGACCCAGCTCTCTCAGCCTTTCCTCATAAGGGAGATGCTCCAGTGCCCTCATCATCTTCATTGCCCTCCACTGGACTCTTTCCAGTAGTTCCTTGTCTTTCTTGAACTGGGGAGCCCAGGACTGGACACAGGACTCCAGATGTGGCCTCACCAGGGCAGAGTGGAGGGGGACGATAACCTCCCTCGACCTGCTGGTCACAGGATAGCCTCCCTTGACCGGATGATCTAGTTGAAGATATCCCTACTCACTGCAGAGGGCTTGGAGTAGATGACCTTTAAAGGTCCCTTCCTACCCAAACCATTCTGTAATTCTATGATCATGCTTCAGTGAGGAGCTAGCTGAAGTGTTTTGGGGTTTCTGCAGTCAGGTTGGAAATAGTAGGCAGTATCAGTTAAACATGACACATCATAAACACGCGTATGTATCCTGTATCACGGAAAATGCTTTTAATTCTGAAGGCAGGCTTTTCTGATTTTGGTGGTTTTTGCCCTAAGAATTTTTTGTTTTGTTCCTCAGAAACTATGCAAACAAAGTTAAGACATTAAATGGCATTTTTCATTGTAGCTACTTTCCTATTTTCTAGTGGGATTTTTTTTTTTTTAATCATGGAAAATTCTGTTTCCTTGGTTTTACAGGCACTTGCTGTTGTGTGTTTTTTGTTTGTTTTTTTTTTTTTTTTAATATCTGGAAATGCAGGTAGTTTTGCAACTGGAGATTAGATTTTATGGGCCTATAACTGAACTAGGCAAATCTGTGATCCAGCATGAAACTGGTGTGAACCAATGAGAAGATGAGGGCCCAAGTGACAGGAGAGTTTCTTTAAACACACAAGTACCATTGACCTTCCAACAATGACTTTGTGACACCAGGGGTTATTTGGCATGCAATTCTCACTCATGCTATTGAAAATCTTGCTCTATCAAATTTCATTGCTTTTTTTTTTTTTTTAAACTGCCTTTTAAGTAATACAATAGAAACAGATCTTGAGGAATTTGAAGATTTAGTAATATTATGGACGAGTCTGTGAAACAAGCTGCCATAATAGATTCTGGGGTGGAATAGGCATTGAAGTTTTGTTATCCCTTCCCCTCCAAAATGTGTCTTCCTGCAGTGCCACTCTACATCATAGGGCATATCTGACCAAGCTGCACTGAGCCAATAAAAATCTATCATTTATTTGCAACTTGAATTTGCCTCTTTTAAAACCACTACTTTAGAACAGCAAGATCAAAATTTTAGCCTTGATTACTGTAAACCCATGCTGACCAAACCTACATTTCATTGATTTCTAAAAGTTCCTTACTCTCTGCATTACAAAAGAACACATTTTCTTTTGTGTAGTTGTTGCAAATAATTTGTGGAATAGTGGCATGGTCTATTTGCATCAGTGAGTTAAAAGCTACAGGAACATATTGGGTACTGAGGGGCTAAAAGGTTAAGGAAAGTATATTCCAGTGAAAGATGGACACGATTTCAGGTCATTTTAATGTGGAAAACATAAAGAGTTTGTTCTTCCTCTTTTTTTTGGTTTGTTTTTGGTTTGTTGTTTTTTTTTTTACAAGCCTTTGGTAGCTTTCTGTCTCATTTAGCTGTACATGGATTACAGCAAGCTGGCTGGCAATCTTTTGGAGAAGTAAACAGGAAAAAATGCTGAAAAAAAGGAAGGACTCTAAAACTTAATTTCTGCTTAATTGGCTGGTATTCAAAATGTGTGCTGTATGTTGGTAATATATAACATTCTGGCTTTCACATTGAAATACGGATACTGAAATTGGATGTATTACTTCATAAATTGCAATTCAGTTCTGTTGTTGTATAATTTAACGTTGAACCATGTATATTTTGAGTCTTACTAAAAATAAATGTGAATTAGGATTCTGTGCCTGTGTCTTTTTAAGGTGTCATGGAGAAGCTTGGGCTTGGTCCAGACGTCCTTCTACAGGAGAATCCCAGACTCATCTATGCTAGACTTACTGGGTTTGGCCAGACAGGAAAATACGCCAAGTCTGCAGGTCATGACATCAATTATTTGGCTTTGTCAGGTAGGCTGTAAAATTTCCTGTCAAATAAGGTTTTCCCCCCTTAAATCAAGACTCAGGAATTTATTGAAAGGTTATTTGCAGATGGCTCAAATTACCTGAAGTGCAGTCTGATGAAACAGCTGAGCAGATTTGAAGCATCTCTGTCAGTGAAAGGAGGGTTTCTTTCTCTTTCAGTGTACTTCTCTCTGCTCCTTTCTCTCCAGTCAGCTCTGGTGCTTGCTTAACCCCCTCTGTAAGCTCCCTCACAAGTGAAAAACTGGCCAGCAAAAATATGGATGTTTTTCTGCCAGGTTATTGAGGTGAAGCAGTTCATTAAGGGATCCAGCAAACATCAGAAGTCAGCACAAGAAAGGCGGAAACATGGGCTGGATGGGCTTCGTTTTGGCAGCAGCAGTGAGCCGTTAGGCTGGATCAGCATGTCTTCTCAGGCTATTTTCTTTCCTTTGTGCTATAAAGTTTTTCTCTTTGAAGAGAGGACTGAAGTTTTTATGCATTTTTGTCTTTCTTCACGGCCTTTCTTCTAGAAAATCTGTATGCTCAGGATCCTGAAAGGGCTGTGGATTATTTTGTGTGTTTGTGAGCAGCTTTTTTTGAGAGAAGAAAAACTAGGAAGCCTAAGCCATGTGAGCTCTTGTGCTTTTCTGCTGTAAATATCTCTCCATTGATACCAACCAAAACGAAAGTGGGCTTAAAATAAAGTGGCAATGCTATGTTTCCTTAAGGTGTTGTAGACAGTATGCTGGTTTTAAGTGTCATGATTCCATAAGTATGCAGCACAAACAATAACAAAATTACCCACCTCTGGTGATAGCAATCATTGTGTCATGCACGGCTGCACCTCCTGCTGTTCACACTGCTTCTGTCTCTGCTGCTTCTCCGAGTCTGTGAAGGAGGAGAGGAAGTGGCCCAAAACTTCTTGGCTTTCTACTGGGTAAAGCATTTCTATTGCCCTCAGCAGAGGGCAGGAGCAGAGGCACAGCAAATGTGGTGATCTGGTATCACCTACTATGGGGAGTCGTTGTGTTGTGGAATTAGGTTTCTTCAGGAATGAGTTCAGTCTTGTCTCATTATCTAAGATTGTCAGAGAATAAAAGAGAGTAAAGAAAGGATGTCTTGTTTGCAACACTTTGACTTCATGTCCAGATGATTTCAAAGTGTGATGTTTTTATTTGTCGTTAGTGTAGGTTCAGTACAGAAACAGTATAGTCCATCACTAGCTTAGATTGTAGTACTTTCTGTTTACAAAAAGGAATGGTTTTTTCCTCTGGAGCTGATTTAATTGGTAGTAGTTTAAGTTTTTTTGCCTGTTTAAAGGAGATAGGACAAGGTATTTGGGAGGTATCATTCCTCAAAAATGGGATCTCATATCCTGAGTATTTTCCTGATGAACTTTGGCTTTCTTTAACTAAAAGATGGCTTGCATTAGAAACTCCAGATATAAGTTAATATGTTAGCCTGTTGGTGCATGTGACAACCTTTAGACTGTTAAAAGTGAGGTTTTAGTCAGTGACAGGGCTTTCTGCTTGCATTAAAGGCTTTGGAAACTTTTTTATGATGTGCATCAGTTGCTTGCACTTAGGAAGTGCATTAGACCACTAACTAACTAAATAGCGTATCATAATCATGCAGTTCTCAGGAAAGTTTGACCGTGTATACTCAATTCTCAGACCTTAGGCTACAGGCATAGGAGAGATAGATCATACTGCGGAGTTTCTTTCTTGCCCAAAGGGAATTGCTAGAAGGGAGCTACGAAGAGTAAGGTGACAGTAAAGAGGTTGTTCAGGATGGCAGAAAAATGCTTACAGATTGAAAGCTCCATCTGAAGTAAACTGGCTTAGCCTGTACTTTATTACCTTTCATTTCTGCATAATTGCTGGCATAAACAGAGGCTCCCTGTGTTTGTTGCATGCAATCAGAGGTAACCTGTCTATGTTATACACCTGTTATTCTTATATGCAACCTTTTTTTTTCTAAAGGTAGTTGAAGAGGGAGGATAGGACTGAAGTGCAGTTGGTGTGAAATCCTTTGTTATGATTATTAATTCACGGGTTATTGCCCAGAAGACTGTACATGTACATTTTTACTTTAAAAGATTAGAAGAAGAACAACTTTACAAAGTTGCTTTGGGACGTGTTCATAATGCCTGTTGAATTCTTGTGGGGGAGGTTCTGTACATGTACAAAATACTAATATAGAATTAATGCACACAAGTTTTCTTTGGATGAAATTTTGTCCTTATGTAGCCAGATTATCAATGGTTTGTTTGTGAGACTTTATTAATCTCTTTAGTTAAATGCATCTTCACTAGTATGATTTTATATATTCTATTCTTTTGTGAATTAAAGAGAAACTATTTGCTAAGACACAGCTGAGTAGAGACAGCAAACTGTTGGTAGAAGTTTGCTTTATCCCTTGTTTACTTGCATAGATTGGAAAGAATGAAACTTTAATTGTAGAAATGTAGAAATGAATGTTTATAATTAATTTTATACTTATGCTTGCTTTGTTGGCTCTGCTGTCAGGTGTGCTGTCAAAGCTGGGTAGAAAAGATGAAAATCCTTATGCTCCCATAAATCTTCTGGCTGATTTTGCTGGTGGAGGTGTCATGTGCGCAATGGGCATTGTTACAGCCCTTTATGAACGTACCAGATCTGGCAAAGGGCAGATCATTGATGCAAGTATGGTAAGTTTGGTCTCAAGGAAGGTGGGGTTTCTTAAGTTTGTTTGTTTGGATTTTTTCCTACTCAAAGTCTGTAAAAGGGAGGAAATTGGAGCTATTCGTAAAGTTTAAGATTGAGAACTTGGGAAAGTGAAAGTAAGTAATCTCATAAAATGGCTATTCCTTCTCGTGCCAGCAGTTTTCACATATCACTGTCGCCGTAACATCCTTATGACTTGGAACACATACTGTGGCTTTTCCCCTGTGCCATTCCCTAACTTTCCTTTTACCCGTCTGCCTTCTTCACAAAGTATTAGCTGTATGTATTTGATGAGTAAGTTTTGTGTATGGAAATAGGGTGTATAATAAACAATTAACGTCGTGCAAAACAGCAAAAACTATGATCCTGATGAAGAATTGCATTAACTTTATCCAAGATATGTCTGCTTATGAATTTGTAACAGATCATGTCTTATTAGAAGCACTGTTCCCTCAAATAATTACACTGCCATGGATTATTGCCAAGAAGTCAATTTCAAACACTTTATGTTAATGTGGCGTAAAATAAATGAAAGGCTAAACTAGCTTCATAATGAATACTATGGGGTTTTTCACTACAAGGCCACCCACTTACACACAGAGGAAAAACATGTGTTTACATTTATCCCTGAAACCTGTATTATCTGCAAGTGTTTTTTCTCTGTCTCTCTTTTTTCTGTTTTTCTTTTTAAAAAAGTGTTGCAATCAAAATTTGACCTCCCTTTGAGGTGTTGTACAGTGAAGGCTATGATTTGGACTTAAATATAAATTAAAAAAAAATACATTAACTGAAGAAAATCCCTTTGTTGAAGAGGTCTTGAAGATAGGAGAATTCACTATCTCGACTTGAGTAAGTTTTTACAAATTCATATGACATTCTTAGAAGCAGGCCACAGCTTTATGGTCTAGATGAAAATTCTATGGGATCAGTGCAAAACTGGTCTAATTTTTTTACCCCAACAATAGTTATTAGTAGTTCATTGTCAAAGTAAGAGACTTATCAACTGGAGTTCTACATGTCTGTTGGGTTTTTTTTCAGTGTTTTCTCCAATAAGCTGAATGATGGATAAGCGATTGTATTTAGTAATTTACAAATAATACGCATGTGGGAAGAACTGCAAGTATGTTGAATGCTTGGATTAGAATTGAAAATGACCTTTTCAAATTGGAGAAATGACCTGAAAAAAATTGGCTGAAATTCATGGAGACCGCTGCTCTGTAGTTCTCTTAGGCAGAAATAATTTGCTGCACAAATGTAGTATGAGAACAATTGGCTAAAGTACAGTCCTGGGGGTTTGTAGTAGTCACAAGCTGAACATGAGTCAACAGTATCATGCTGTTGTAAAACACACAGATACTGTATTAGGATGTATAAAGAGGAAATAGAGCCAGCAAAGTTTCTGAAGTAATTCTTCTAATCTATTCAACATTTATAAGGCCTCAGGAAAATCCTGTTTGTGACGCTGGCCATCATCTTTCAAAAAAAATTACCAATTTGAGAAAGTATGAGAAACACAACAAAAGTGATGCGAGTCTAACAATATGACCTACAAAGCAAAATTGAAGGAGTTTTTGTATTTGTGAAGCAAAAACTGTGGAGAATTGTGAAAAGTCTTCAAATATTTTAAAAAATATTTCTTGTAGTTTGGAGTATTACCTTATTTTCATTATTGGAACTTTAAGTCATTAAAATAATAACGTTACGAGAAGAATCAAAGTCCGCTAATGTCCTAATGATATCTGTGGCTCACTGGGAATGGAATGTGTTGTGGTTTTATGTGGGGTTTTTTTAAGCCCTCAAAACTCTTCTCTTTCAATTTTTTCTTGTCTCATTGTAATTGTGGAATTTACAGTTCGTTGCTGATGTTCCTGGTGTCCTGTGAAGTGGATGGAATATTGTCCAGTATCATGGGGTGTACTTTACCTAGCATTTGGTTATGTTCCTTTCACTTGAACAGACTTCCAGTGAGATAGTTGATGAAAAACATAACATGCATCATCAACAGCAAACACAGTTAAATAGACTGGGTTGATGAGCCTGGTTTTATATCTGAGTTTGTTTCACGGAAGTAGATATTTTTAAAATCACAGTACCACAGCATTTCAGCTGTCATTTCATTTTAACATTCTTTTTTATTTAATAGGCCTGTTACTTAAGTTGTTGTATGGTTTAGATATTCTGAATATGTTAACGACTCTGACACATGGTGGGATTTTCTGTGGTAGAAGAGGGAAAATGAATTTCTTTTTAGCAGCTTTGTGTCCTTAGAATCACTTACTAAGTTTTCATCTTACTTCATGGCTTGTTTTACTGACCACTTGGTTTGTTTTTTCCTTTTATTGCAATGTCTATTTTTCTGAAGTAATCTAAACAAATTAATTATTTCTTGACTTTGAGGTTAATAGTTCTAAATTGAGATCTGAATTTTTGTGATAGAAGAATTTGTTGTTTATCTTTTATTTCTAATTACTGTGCTGAAAGCTGAAAAATGGCTTGGGAGCATTGCTATGGTCAGTAATACACACATGAGGAGCTCCTCTAGTTAGTGAAACTAAACGGATAGAAAAAGAGGGTAGAGAGGATCAGGCCAAGGGGCTAGATTTGCATCACCTGTTCGCAGTGTCCAGTGCTATGGTTGTGCTCTGTAAAAAGTAGACACTGGGTCCTACATTTCAGCTGTCCGCCTCAAAAGAATTAAATGCCTGGTCTGAACTGATTCATGATAGTTGCTCTCTCTTCTCATTGACTGTATGGGGATCACAGCTATCTTACAGCGAGCATGATAGTTCCCATGTGCTGAGTAGGATGTGGAGTGGACACCACAATATGATACAGTAAGCCCAATTGTACATCTGCACTCTTGCACCACACTGGAACAGAAGCATGTGAGTCAGGGCCACACTTTAGGTTCCCTCCAAATTCAGACCTAGAGGCTTCTGCTGATGGTAGGCATCTGACCAAGCATGACTCACTCTTTGTGAAAAGACAGCCACAGGAGAGGATGGTTGGTGGTAATGATCACTTGCATAATAGTCTCATGGCAAGAGCATTTAGCTGGCCAACAGAAGACTGGGATTCCAGGTTTTTCTCAGCCTGGAGGTATTCAAAACCAAAAGTCCCACATCCTAGAGGCATTCATCAGTCACGAGGATAAAGATTAGGTTGGTGTGGATTCATGCTCGGTTTTGTTTGAACTGTCACTCTGCAGGAGGAACAGAAGACTTGTGGAGCAGACAGGTCACCCAGTGGCGTGGTGCCTCTGGATTCTTGTCCCTGCTCCAGAGACTGCTGATAATTTTAGCATGAGGGAACCATTAAATGAAACACTTAACTGTGACTGTAATCATGCTGCAATTAAGCTTAAGTGGAGTCTCTCTATGTTATCCTTTTCATGTTTTAAAGAAAGTGACCACATTAGTGTGTGTGTGGTGTTATTTGAGCATACCTTTAGAGGTTTGGTAAAGATGTTAGACACCTTTTTACTTGTCCCTGAATTGCAGTGGGCCTCAGGCAGAAGCTAGTGGTCCAGTTGCCCAGCCAGCGATATTTCAAGTCCTTATACCAGTCCAAACCAGATGTGCTATTTTATTTTAAGTGTTTCCAGGGTAAGCAGCAGCGTGTGTAGGTATTGTAAGTAGCTCCATCAGCACCAAAATCTAATTTGCAGTTAGAGCTTATTCTGATATTATCCCCATCTTTTATTATCCTTACTTCCAAATTTTTTTTCTATTTTTTTGTTAATATGAGCAGTGCAAGATCAGTTAGTTAGTAAAGCAAACACTATTTTGATAGCCTTGCAATTATTTTGCAAACATATAGATGAAGGTATACAGTATTTTCTCATATGGAAGCATTTTAATTGACTTTAACATAGGACAAGTAGGGCAGAAGTATTCCTGTTCTTGTGTCAGATACTTGAGAAAGAAGCCAAGTAATACACATTAGATGAAGAAGCCTTCATGACTGTGAACTTCAGATTTACATGTTTTAAATTCTTCCTTAGAAAGGTAGAAAGTAATAGATCTTTCCACATGAAAATTCAGTAGTTTTTTATTTTGGTACAATCTCTGTGCTTTTCTCTATAGACAATATTGGGTTAATTTTACACAGCTGAAGATGCATGAATGAAAATGATACAGCTTAGGTTTCTCTCTGTTCCACTGGAATGTTTCTCGCCATATACTCTTACTGCTTCATCTTCTCTTACAGTTTTTCTCATGCAGTTGGAAGAAAATGGATTCTGCTGGTGAGCAAAACTGTAGGATGTGATTTTGCTTGGGAAAACTGGTACAAGCTTGATAATTGTGGAAAGGCTGAACAAACTGAATTTTCATCTGGTTGTATTCCACATAACCAAAATTTTAAGGAGCAAGTTGAAACAGGATTAATCATGTTTTCCAGTGCTGTATTCATCAGGCGCTTGACTAGAGATTACCTTGCTGTGTCTGCCAGTGATGACAATCAGAGAATAATCTTTGTTTTAATTAGTGATGGAGATGAGCGTGCCAGTTCCCATGGTATAAGAGAGCTTTAACCTTTGATTTCCTTCCAGTTTTCTTCTAAAAATAGCAGTCTTATTATAATCAGTAAATTCAAAGAAGTTAATGTTGAGAAAAATTTGATACTTACAGGACTGGTATAGGCATCTTGATTTCCAGAGGTTTAGAAGGCTTGACAGCTGTCACATACTTAATGTTCTATAAAACCAAGAAGCTTGTCCCATCGCCTAAAATTACTTACATTCTCTTTGTGAACTCCTAATGATTATAAACTTGCTAAACAAGGAAACTTTGTGTGTTGAAAGTGTCTTACCCATCTGAAGCTGCTTTATTACATTTATGCTCTCTCTTATTCTCTAATTCTAGATGACTTCACATATGCAATATAAACAATAATTGAAAATTTTAAGAAACTAAACTGCTTACCAGAAATTTTGTCATTAAAAATCTTAACGAAGGACAGAACTGGTAGTATTTTTTTACTGTTTGGTTTTATGCAGAATTACGGTAACATGCCAACTAATTTACTGAAGCTGTTACTTTTTCCTGTAAATCTTCAAGGTAGAAGGAGTAGCATACCTAAGTTCTTTCCTGTGGAAATCACAAAATTTGGGACTTTGGAACAGACCTCGAGGTGAGAACCTGCTAGATAGCGGTGCGCCTTTTTATGAAACCTACAAGACTTCCGATGGAAAATTCATGGCTGTTGGTGCCATTGAGCCTCAATTCTATGAGCAGTTAATAAAGGGTAAGTCACTTGGAGCAGTTGTTTCACATCAACAAAGTATGATTGAATGAATTCTTTAATACCTGATTTTGGTTCATGACATCAGTTATGTTTATTTCTTTGTGAAAGCCAAACACTTCTTGAAACTAATTGGCTAGTAGTGTAGCAGTTTAGTTGACTTTCTTCTTCTAGCAATTGATTTATTTCTTTTTCATCCCTTCTTCGCCTCACCCTCAGAAACTACATTTAAATTACAGGTTTTCTTCTGGAGTTATGGTAATGGTGGTCTGTGATGTGGCTGGAGCATTAAACAACTATTTTTAGTAATCAGTTTTTTCAAGGGATTGTGAATATACTTTAAAAAGGAGATCTAATTCTTTGGTATTGTAAATAAAATTTCAAGCAATTTCAGTTTTTTGTGCTAAAATATTTTTAAAAAGAAACTATTTAAATTGTTTCAGAAAGGAATGTTCATTGGAAATAGTTTATAGTATTTCTTGATAGAATGGAATTTTTCTAGAAGCAAGGTAGGCTTTATAAATTAATTTCCACCACAGAATTTCAGAGTGCTTTTAGTGTCCAGCTATGGATATAATTTTTATATTTGACTGAAGACTCTTCAAATATGACTATAAAATATGATTTGTCTGTTTGTGAAATTAGAATGGGTCATGTAAAATAATTGTGTGAAGTTAAAACAGAAGTTTGTCGGTGCCTCTTTACCTTTGAACTGTTTGTGTGCTTCAAGCTTTTGATCAGATATGCTCTTAGCTTCTTACTGGTTATTTAATTTAAAAATAATTTCTTCTGTTGTGCTCCTTTGGTAGACTGCTATGCTTTCCATATGACATATATGAAAATACAACAATTTCGCAACAGAATTTGGTATTTATTATCTTTCCATTACTCTGAATATCAAGGATATAAGAAGTTCTTAATCTAATTTTAGTTTTGCTTAATGAGTAGAAGGAATACCAACAAAAGATATATGTGAGCTGGATGTACCCAGTGCTGTGCGAACCACTTTTGTACGTGCATGACTTACATGTGGTAAATTTTTGTTGAGTGAAGGTGTCAGTGGAGTAGCTCCTTATTTTTGCTTAGTCTCTTGCCATTGATTATTCTTTGAATTGTGGCATGGGTACCTGTACTGGTTTTGGCTGGGATAAATTTCTTTGTAGTAGCTTGTATGGGGCTATGTTTTGGATTTGTGCTGGAAACGGCGTTGATAATTCAGGGTTGTTTTAGTTACTGCTGAGCAGGGCTTACACAGAGTCAAAGCCTTTTCTGCTCCTCACCCCACTCCACCAGCAAGTAGGTCGGAGGTGCACAAGAAGCTGGGAGGGGACACAGCTGGGACAGCTGACCCCAACTGACCCAAGGGATATCCCATACCGTATGGTGTCATGCTCAGCAGTAAAACTGGGGGGAGGTTGGCATGGGGGCCGCTGCTTGGGGTGGGCATCGGTTGGTTGATGGTGAGCAATTGTTTTC